ACCCGAACCCATTTAAAATCAGTTGGGTAAAGAAGGGTGTAGATTTTCTCGTCTCCGATTTATGCAAGGTGACATTTTCAATTGGTAAGAAATACCTCTGCCAAGTCACTTGCGATGTCCTTGAAATGGACATTTGTCACTTAATTTTGGGTAGACCGTGGCAATACGACTCGGGAGCGGTGCATGAAGGCAGAAGTAATTCGTATGTTGTGGAATGGAAAGGAAATAAATTAAAACTATTGCCAGCCGGTGTGATGCCAGCTTCAACGCCCCTCAGTCTCACGTCGGCTTGCCTCTTGGCGGGACGTGACTTCTTGCATTGTATTTCTGATAACGGCCCACTGCTGGCTCTAGTAGCCACTGAGTCAGGAGATAATGAACAAACCGCGCCTCATCCGGAAGTACAATCCTTGCTTGACTCATTTCCAGACGTCACACCCGTGGATTTGCCCATAGCTCTACCACCAATGCGCACAATACAGCATCAAATCGAACTAGTTCCTGGAGCGGTCTTACCCAACTTGCCTCATTACAAAATGAGTCCGCGGGAGCACACTATTCTACAGAAGATAGTGCATGAGTTGTTGGAAAAGCAGTTCATCCAACCTAGCCTGAGCCTGTGTGCAGTACCGGCGTTACTCGTACCTAAGAAGGACGGTCAATGGCGCATGTGTATTGACAGCAGAGCTATAAATCGGATCACCGTCAAATACCGCTTTCCCATTCCGCGAATTTCGAATTTGCTAGACAAACTTGCCGGGGCAACCATCTTTTCCAAACTCGACCTGAGGAGTGGCTATCACCAGATTCGCATCCGGCCGGGCGATGAGTGGAAGACCGCCTTTAAAACGATCGATGGGTTATTTGAATGGAAGGTCATGCCGTTCGGCCTGTGCAACGCTCCTTCGACATTCATGAGGCTCATGCATGAGGTGCTTCGACCCCATCTTGATAAGTTCTGCCTCGTATACTTTGATGATATTCTCATCTTCAGTAGATCATTTGAGGATCATCTATGCCACCTTCGGTCGGTCCTAGATACTCTCCGCGAACATCAATTGTATCTCAATGTGGCTAAGTGTGAATTTGCGGTCACTAATGTCAGTTTTCTGGGCTTTATACTGACACCCGAAGGAATCAAAACTTCCCCTCACAAGATTTCGGCCATTACCGAATGGCCAGTACCGACATCCATCACGGAAGTGCGAAGTTTTCATGGCTTGGCCAATTACTACCGGAGATTCATCAAGGGATTCAGCAGCCTTATGTCACCAATCACCAATTGCTTAAAATCACCTTCTTTTACATGGGCTGCTGCACAACAGAAGAGTTTTGACAAGATTAAATTGGCTCTCAGCTCCGCACCAGTACTAGCCTTCCCCGATTTTGACAAACCATTCCAAGTGGAAACTGACGCCTCTGCCATAGGCGTGGGAGCTGTGATGACTCAAGACGGTAAGCCAATTGAGTACTTCAGTGAAAAGTTGAGTACCACCCGACAAAAGTGGTCGGCATATGAGCAGGAATTATACGCCGTGGTTAGAGCTCTCAAACAGTGGGAGCATTACCTTCTACACAAGGATTTTGTGTTGTGTAGTGACAATCAGGCTTTACAATATATTAATAGTCAAAAAAATATTAACCGCATGCACGCAAGGTGGATCGTCTTCTTTCAACGATTTAGTTTTGTAATCAAGCACAAGGCGGGCCGTGTTAATCGTGTAGCAGACGCACTCAGTAGGCATGCCGCATTACTCATCCACTTGCAAGCTGAGGTAACGGGTTTACAGGAGTTGAAGGAACTATATGCCGACGACAAAGATTTCGCTCAGATTTGGAAGGCTTGTACGAATGGACAACCCCAGCAAGATTTTTCAGTGCAGCAAGGCTTCTTGTTTAAAGGCAACAATTTGTGCATCCCGGATTCTTCGTGGCGACCACAATTGATCAAAGAGCTGCATAGCGGAGGCCTGGCGGCTCACGCGGGGCGAGACCGAACCTTGGAGCTGCTTCAGGCGCGCTTCTATTGGCCTCATTTGAGAAGGGATGTCGTCAGGTTTGTGGAAAAATGTGCTGTTTGTCAATGGTATAAAGGTATGAATCAAAACACAGGCCTTTACTTACCATTACCTGTTCCCGAATCCATCTGGGAAGACCTCTCGCTAGACTTCGTCTTGGGCCTTCCGCGTACCAAGCGAGGATCGGATTCCATCATGGTGGTGGTGGATCGTTTTTCCAAGATGGTGCATTTTGTTCCTTGTAAAAAAACGTTTGATGCTGTCAACATCGCTAATCTTTTTTTCAAGGAAATTGTTAGGCTCCACGGTCTTCCTCGCAGCCTTACATCGGACCGTGACGTCAAGTTTGTTAGTCATTTCTGGAGGGAGCTGTGGAGACGTCTGCACACCGAGCTGAAATTCAGTTCAGCCTACCATCCGCAGACTGACGGACAAACGGAGGTAGTCAACAGGACCCTGGGTAATATGCTACGGTGTCTCGTACAAGATAATCCAAAGAGGTGGGAAGAACTGCTAGGACAGGCGGAATTTGCATACAATTCCTTACCAAATCGGTCCACGAAATTCAGTCCATTCCAGGTGGTATATACTAAGCCTCCTAACCAATTAGTTGATGTTGCTATCTTCCCAAAATGCAGCAATCCAGCAGCCCACCGTGTCATCTCCCAAGTTGCTGATGCCATCCAGACGGTGAGAGACAACCTGCACCGAGCCAATGACAAATACAAATTGGCAGCTGATGCTCACAGGCGGAGTAAAATTTTCTCTCCAGGCGAATTGGTGATGTTACGGATGAGGCGGGAGCGCCACCCCCAGGGAACCTACTCTAAACTGAGTCCAAGGAAAATTGGACCGTTCCCAATCAAAAGCAAGATTAATGACAATGCTTATGTTATTGACTTGCCACCCGACATTCACACTTCTCCCACATTCAACGTCTCCGATATCTACAGTTATCATCCTCCTGATGATATACAACCGATCGAAATCTCGTCAGAGTCGAGCTTCTCGGAACCGGGGGAGAACTGATGCGGTCATCGGATACTCTTGGTGAACCGGCGGACCACTTGACACACTACTTCCGCCACTTCTTCTGCAAACACTACATTTTTGCTTCTTTTAGTACCGCTGCACTTTATTAGCTGTTTTGCTTTACTTAGTATCAGCTCCATTTTACTTAGTTAATTTTAATTTCAGTTTGCTAAACCAGATATATACTGGTTTACTGTTTAGAGGAGGCAGATAGAAAATATATACAAAAACTCACCAAGCGCTCATCACCGGAGGTGCCCTTGTAGTCAACAATGAAGGATCACCAATAGAGAAGCCCTAATCCAAACTACTTAAAGGAACTTTGAGTGATTTATTGTTGATGATAATCATCTTAGTGTATAACCTAGGATCTCTCTGTATCAATGACAATGCCTCAAACATACTCAATGGGTGACCAACTAGCTTGCTCGAGGTTAGGCTTATTATGAGCTTGTTGGCAGAGGATGACACCTGACCATCGACAAAATACTTTCTAAGGATTGCAAGTAAGTTCTTACCTTTTTTAGAGGGAGTTATCAACTCAACTCTAATGGAAGTCATCATAACCTGCATGGAGGCTACCCTCCACTGGATGCTCCAAAGGAACTTGCCCTATTAGTCTCAAAGTTAATGAACATTCTCAAAACTCGAGGAGAGTGTTAACATACTTATATTCGCATAGCCCCACCCCCAATTATAGATTCTAGGTGGACTGCAACTTTTTCGACAATTTGACAATCACATTTGTTACACATGGATGCACTTTCATCTTCTTCACTAGGGAGGCGCGATAGGCCCAACCGACCCTGGGCTGTTTGGGGATTTAATTTGGCATTTTCCCCTTGCTGAGTTTTCACGTAAAAATTCTTATCTCATCTATGAATTCAAATTTGTTTTTTTTTTTTAAATTTATACATAATTCTAAGATGATGAATTTTTTTATACAATTATAACTTTTCTGACACACAATAATAATATTTTAAATATTTTGATATTTCTATTTAGTGAGTGCTTTACACGGTATTCAATTAAGATATTTTTTTGTTCATTTCCACCGACCTGGCGCATGTCACCTCCATGCCAACGTTTATAAAATGCAGCATCAGGCGCCAATTTGAATTAAGCACTCTCAAAATTCCAATCCATCTGCCCCTACGCATAAACCTCCCGCCCTGTGGCATCGATCTATGGAAGAATGAGAACTCGCTTCCTTGCCACCGATTACTTTTCTGTTCCGTCGACTAGCGAAGCCCTAAAAGATTTCCAAGCTCTGTCACTTCCAGCTCCAAATTTCTACTCTCCGGATCCCTTCCTTAGTGCAGAGATCCCATTACTATGGAAGTCATCATGACCTGCATGGAGGCTACCGTCCTATGGATGCTCCAAAGGAACTCGCCCTGTTAGTCTCAAAGTTAATGAACATTCTCAAAACTCGAGGAGAGTTTTAACCTACTTATATTTGCATAGTCCCACCCCCAATTATAGATTCTAGGTCAACTTTTTTGACAATTTGACAATCACATTTGCTACACATGGATGCACTTTCATCTTCTTCACTAGGGAGGTGCGATAGGCCCAACCGACCCTGGGCTGTTTGGGGATTTATCTGGGCATTTTCCCCTTGCTGAGTTTCCACATAAAAATTCTTATCTCATATATGAATTCAAATTTTGTTTTTTTTTTTTTGTGAAAATTTATACATAATTCTAAGATGATGAATTCTTTTATACAATTATAGCTTTTCTGACACAGAATAAAAATATTGTAAATATTTTGATATTTCTATTTAATAAGTGCTTTACACGGTATTCAATTAAGATATTTTTTTTGTTCATTTCCACCGACCTGGCGCATGTCACCTCCATGCCAACGTTTATAAAATGCAGCATCAGCCATCAGGCGCCAATTTGAATTAAGCACTCTCAAAATTCCAATCCATCTGACCCTACGCATAAACCTCCCGCCCTGTGGCATCGATCTATGGAAGAATGAGAACTCGCTTCCTTGCCACCGATTACTTTTCTGTTCCGTCGACTAGCGAAGCCCTAAAGGATTTCCAAGCTCTGTCACTTCCAGCTCCAAATGTCTACTCTCCGGATCCCTTCCTTAGTGCAGAGATCCCATTACTAATTCCAGATTTCTCAGCACAACATGAAATCGACAGGTTTCCATTTGAGGAAGCTCTTACCGAATTCCTATCGGATGTCATCCCACGGTTCCTTGGCGCTGGAGAAAGACCATCCAATCCTGGCAGCTCTGGGATACATCTTACTCCGTCCTCCGAGAGCAACCAAGAGGAGATGGGATCTACCGCATGTGAGATGGAATGCGTGGAGGTGACTCATCCATCTACTTAAAATTTCAAATGAAGGAATATATTTTTGTTCTCTGATGGTTGTTTTACTGAATTCCGGCTAGCTATGAGTCAGTATCAAAAGAAATCGAAGCCATCAACTATGAAATCTGCTAATTTCTTATATTTAGACGCGATGTTATCGGTCAATCCTTTGTATCGAAGTTCCTTTATTTAGAGTCCTTATATTGATTTTTTTGAAGAGAGCGGACGGTTCCTTTTGCAAAGACATGGAAGTTGAAAATAGTATGGAGGTCAATCTTGGCGCTGTTATAGATATGTTACCACATGTAGGAAACTGATCCTTATGCGAATTTGTTGATTTAATTGATATTTATTCGTGAAATTCCTTATTCTCTTATTTTGTCATGGGGACTGCAATTGACAGACATTTCTCAAGTTTGAGATTGCTGAGGTGGATGAGTTTCCCATGGTATTGTGTCACCCTTTTCTACGAATTAAACATTTTTTGCATGTTTTTCTTAATGTTTTTTTTTATATAGTTAATTCTTATGCATTCTCAACAGTGGGAATTGGGAATCTGCTGTGAAAGGAATGAGGCTCCGTTATTCTTTGAGGTTCCTGGAGTTAGTGTTACACTGGTATGGCTTCTCTTTTATTCCAATTCAATAAATGTCTTAATTATTCAGGATTTCTGCTATAAACAGATGGTGGTTAGTATATACAGATGCTAAATTTTTATAAAGTAATTTCCCATCCGAACAAACTGAGAGATTTTGATTTTAAATGGCTAGTAAGGGTAAGAGTAAAAGTACGATGAAAGTATAACTTGTACATATTGCATACGGAGTCATTTTAAATAGCTTAAAGCTTGTGCACTTTTGTAATATCTGAACGGGGGAATGAGCTCAAAAACCAAACTCATTCAATTTCCAGTAACATGACCTATAAATTTTGGAGTATTGTGTTCTTAATTGAGCTCTTTTCCAGCATGTTTAATTGAGCATAATTCGTTCTCATCCTGGCTCCCTTATACTTGTCCAGTAAAGTGAATATATTAAATGATTACAAAAAAAAAAAAAAAAAAAAAAAAAAAAAAAAGATTACGTACTTGAACTGCTTGAAAAAAATATCTTCAGTAGTGGAAGTGTCATCATTACTTTCTTTTTCTCAGGCTTATTAGGAATATCAAGATGAATATTTACACTTAACTGAAGATAATTATTCCAAAGTATGTAAGTTCAACTTGGTGATCAACATTAACATTTAAGGAGGTTGAAATTAATGATGCTAAAGTTTTGCTTCTTGAATCTAGTCTTCTTTCTATCCTTATCTGATTACTATGTTATCAAGTTGTGCTAGGCTTATCTTTTCTATTACTGTTGGTATTCATGGGATGTAGCTCTATTAAACAAGTGAAAAATATAGTCATGCTTTCATGAATTTAAAACCTGGCAGCTTGAGGCATTTAGTCATAGGATTTTGAATATATTCTCTTAGTTATAGGATTGCTTTGAATGAGTAGTCCCTTCATGCACCAATTACAACTTGCAGCAATAGTTTCTTGGCAATACCTTTTTTCACCTGATACTTGCCCTTATGCAAAATTTAAGATAATATTGAATTTAGTTTATGCAAGAATGAGTAAATTGTATGTTTTTGCATTATCTTTGTTATATAGTTTATCTGACAAAAGCTATTTCCTTATAAAATAATGCTATTAATGATTGTTGATGCCTAGGATTGCGTCGATATTGAAATGGGAATATCAATTATAAGTCCATATGAGGTTGATCGTTTGCTTTGTCTTATTGAAGATGTTCCAGATATTCTGATTATTTGTGAGGAGAGTTTTTCAGAAAAAGATGGCAACTCCTTACAAGACAGCAAGCTTTGCCATGATATTAAATTACCCAGTTTTGAAATTGGTGAAAGTGTTTTGGGGATCCATGAATGCTTTTCCATGGATGAAACGTTCAATGATCTCCTAGCTTATTTAAAGCTGCAGAAAAATGGTGATGAGTTGGTAGTCAATGCAAAGGAATTACTTGGATCCACGAATGACAGTTTTTCAGAGCATTTTTTGACTCAAGCCGCATCTGATGGCCTTGACCACAGGCCTCTTCCCCTAAATTCTTTGTTAGATTTGGATCTGATTGATCTCAATGGTTGCATTCTTCTTGAGGATAAGTCAGTAATGTATCCGATGGTATCAGATGGAAGTTCTCCGCATGTTCCATGCTTAACCCAGCTTGAGGAAGTTCAGGTTTTTGATGGAACTATGAATGTTCCTGATATGTTTAACAGTTTTAATTCAGTGGAGAAAGAAGAATTTTTTGAGCAGATGTGTAAAGAACAAATACGAGAGATGGAAAGCTTTTATGAGTCAGTACTTACTTCGGAGCTTTCTCTTATGGATAATCCATTCAAGTTTTTGCCCGCTCCAATTCTTATTGATGCTAACATTTTGAAATCAGAATCTATGATTATGGAAGATATCTTTAATGCTATCAAACCACACTCTTTTTCTGTTTGTGATGAAATATATTTGGATTGGCATCCTCTGTTGGAAGGGGCTTGTAACAATGAAGCTTGCTCAGCTTTCATGTCGATGATCCAAGAAGTAAGTAGTTATAGGATTGATACCTGTGAGCTTGAATCCCAATGTGAACCTTTCACGCATTCGGATTTTTATTTCATGGATGATTCTTTGGGTGAGGTCAGCATAGAGCATTGTAAAAAACATACTGATGTTCATAAAAAATGTCCTGATGACATGTTCCCAGCTGTTGATACTGATGTTACTGAGGCAGTTAATCATGACAATAGAGAGTCTAATAGTGCAAATCAAATGCCAAAGAACAATCCAGCCAAGATTTCTTCGATGCTTGAGCCAATATCACAGTTTAATGATCTCAATTTTTTCTTAGGTGTACGAAAAGGCAGTGCTGAGGTGTCTTCTGGCTTTGAAACTTGTAGTGCAAATAGGCATAGTATCAGGATCACATCATGGGATACGCTGCAGGAACCATCTGAAGCATCCTTTTTTTCTGAATCAAATCTTCAAAAGATTGAGGTCCATAAAGCTAGTCTATCAGGTTATACTTTAAACCTTATTGATGAAATCCAAGCGATCTATTTTTCAAACTTAAATAAGTGCAAACATTTGATAAGTAATAGTTCATCATCAACTGCAATGGAACTATTAAGCATTCACAAGGGAAGACTGTTGGAGTTGATTTCACATAAAGGTGAAAGTCAATGTACTTCGGGACCTAGAGATGAAGCTTTCGTTGCATTACTTGCAATATATGCCCTCAAACAACTGGCGTACTACTTGTGCTTCTTTGGGATACATATTGCTTACCTCTATGTGAGCATTTGTTCAAGTAATGTGACCAACCTGGCAGAGAGGTTACAACCTTTGCAGTCCTTGCTTCAAGACGCACATTGGAAAGCTGAGAAAGAAATTATTGAATCACATCCATCACTCTCTCTTATTGAAGGCCTTCTGAAGTCGAATGCTTCCAAAGGATGCAAAAAAACTCTAATTATATCAAATGAAGTGTTTTGGCCTTCACTGAAATACAAGCTCACTATTTTGAAAATTTCATTTAATGAAGTTAGGAATCCATGCTGTCCCACAGAACAATTGGATATTCTGGATAAATGTAGATCTCCGAATTCTATTATTGAAGCATTAATGCACTCAGATTGCTTACTACTATCCTATGAGTAAGTAATATGTTCTATATCATGATCATACTTTCTGCTTCACATGTTTTAGATTTTGTTCCATACTTGTACTTTTTTGTTATCTAAATCCTTGTGCAGTTCCTAAATCTCATTTCCTTCAGTGTTTTTGGTATACTTCTTCGGTTTATATAACTTCGTCTGAAACTTTTGTACAGTTCCTATTTCTAATTTCCTTTGGTAAAAAAACTATTTCCTTATTCTAATTTTATTTTTATTTATTGTTTAGGAAGGCCTATTAATTTGTTATAATATCCATCAAAATGGTGTCATTGATTATCTAAATTTTTGCAATTTTTATCACTTATGGTCAGTGATATTTTTGGTATTAAAAATAGTTCCCTACCCTACACTTTTATAGTACATAAACGAAAGAAAAGTGAGCAATCTCATTTTTTCTATTTATCTCCTAATATAAGAGTAATCTTGTGGTAGATCCCATTTCTATTCAAAAATATTGTTAAATCTTCTTTTCATTCTTACATTGACCAACTAAGTTAAAGTAGTTCTCATATGTAGATACTCCACAAGATAGACTATGAGTTTAACCTTCTCACTCGTTCGGACTGCAATACAAGGTTTTTTGGCCGGAGATTTATGTGGACTTTAGAATTCTCTCAATCAATGATGAGCACTAACCAAAGAGGGATTATAATTTTTAATCTGTCTAAAACAAATTGTTTGTCTAGGGTATTTACTATAGAGGCCTATCACCTTGTACCAATTAGGTCTTAGTATTTAAGAAAATTGATGAGGTCTGCCAAAAGAGTTTAGGTGATGTTTTGATGAAATAAGAACCTAGAACACAAGTGATTTTTTCTTAAAAGAAAATTTTTATAACTAGTCAACGAAACAAGTAAAACGTGATGCAATTGCAAGGAATTGCCAAATTAAATGCAAAATTGTTAAAATATAATTAAAGATAACATTTCTTTTTTTAAGAAACTATATATCTACTGATGAATAGATCATCCAGAACTCTCATTTATCACGACTTGTTTGTATCCTGACAAGCCCTGTTGAATGATTATTTTTTTATTCCTGCTTCCCTTGGCAAACAAGATTTAAAACCTCCTAATAACTTCTGTTTTGATACTCAGAATAGTGCCATTAGAATCATAAAACTACTTAGAATTTCGGTCACCAACATCCGCAATCATATGATATTATATGAGGCTAAAATTATGAAGTATTCAAATCAATGTTGTTGCATGTAGATGAGATGAAGATCACATCATGGTGGTCTACAACATGGGAAGGCTTAATTTCTTAATAAGATCTAAAGTTCTCAAAATTTTTGTGTAAGCCAGATTTGAAGTACGAGAAACTGGAACCACCGTATATGAAGGTTGATTCTTATTTTATATGATCTTCTTATTCTTAAATGAAAGGATTAATTAAAAATATATATATTTTTTTCATCTGAGCCATGAAATATTTTGTGTAGTTTAAAAAATTTTTGCAGTAAGAATAATATGAAGGGATGTGACTTAAAATTCCATCTTTTGCTAATAACTAAAAGAGGAGGAATCAATTAAAGCCTCCTTATCCAAAAGAATAGTAGTGTTTATTTGAACTAAAACCCTAACCATAGATGCTCCGGAAAGTCGAGCAATTGAAACATCCACTTTCAAGATTTTGCTAAAAAAATATAACTTAGAAAATACAAGGGGGTTGAAGTAGTTAAATGAATCTAAGGAAAGCAATCCAAATTGAAGTGATTATTCACCTATTGTGCATATTGTATCCTAAACTTGTATACGTTTATATTGTGTTATAAATTTGATTGTTAGATTATCTAGCATTCATTGCATGTTCGATTTTGGGAATTTTTAATTAGCAAGATTTTGAAAGTGGTCCAAAATATCATTGATGCAGGAGCAGCACATTATTATGTTTTCTCCTTTTCATTATGCTAGTAGTAATCATACTTTAGTTATGCTAACCCTTCTATGTTGGGAGCCATAGTTATGCCCTTTTTTATTATTTTTAATTTTTGCTTTATTTATGCCAAGCTATAAGGGAGAAGAAAGAATATACAATTTGAGCATCATCTTGGTTTCCCATTATTGCTTCAGTTTCTTTTAGCAAAAAGTTAATATCAAAACTTGAAGAGCCCTGACAATGGCTGTTAGAGGGGACTAAAGCCGCTAAATTGGTGATGAAGAGCTCGACGTGCATACTCTATGGCCATCTATTACAACTTTATAGCAAAGGTTGATACTCTATTACTCTTATTGGATGCACAACAAATACTCCTCTTCATTAGTGCACGAACGACTAACAAGGATGCCAACATTGTGAAGCTCCGTGAGGAGGACAAACTATGCGGTGGAAAATTAGATACGAATGTCCTAACGATTCCTTAGCCCCTACTCCATAACTTCTTGTTGTTGAAATATCCCAATATGAAACCTAATCAAATGAAGTCGAAACTTCGGCTCTTGATGGTCCTCAGTATACTCGAACCCTCATCGACACCCACAACACCATGAGTACAAACTAAAATTTAATATCCCTTTCTTCAATGGTCACTTGAACATTGAAGTGTTTGGATTAGATTAAATCATTTTATATATTTTTTTTCCATTATTCAGATATCCTTGAAGATAGAAAATAAAATTGGTGTTGTATAAATTCAAAGAGGGAACAAGCGCTTGCTTGGAGAAATTACAAAGTTGTTCACGAGGAGAAGTCTGAACCGCTATCAGATTATGGCTTCGATGCAAAAACTACTGAAGGAAAGATCCTTACCAATTGATTACGACTAAATCCTCTATAACCTATATCAACATTTACAACGAAGGGGCTTGGCTTGAGTGTATATAGAGGAATTCTAGAATAGACCTCGCTATCTTATTGAGTTACAGATTCATTACATGTTCAATATCACGATTTTGAGAAGATCGTTAACCTTGCCGACAAAGCTGAGTAGCACTGTACAAAATTCTAATTGATTCTCTTTTAATCACTGATTCTAGCAAGAATCGGCTGGTGGAAATTTTTAGCTCCCTTCAATCTAGACCTGTCCATTTCAAGTAACCGCTGATTAACCCTTCTAAAATTGCTGAAGAAGGTTAAGCTTCTCTAAAAAATTCCAATCCTTGTTCCTATCCTGGTGCCATTCACTATTATCGCTGTAATCAAATGGGTCATAAAATCATATATTTCTACTAATAAGATTATTAGAACATTTTAATTCAATAACACCTACTAATTTATCCACAAAAAGCAATTAAAATTTATTGATTGCAATAATTAAACTTTAGAAAAAATCATTAAACTTTCAGACATTAACCATATTTCTTAAAACTATGCACTTCTTTTATTAATTACATATATCATACATAGTTCTTTTATTCTTATAATAGATCAAATATGTGGAAGTGATTCATTTGAAAACAGTAAGCTCGAAGGCTAAGGACCTTTTAGCCTCTATACTTGCCCATCTTTTTTTCCCTACCTATACATGTCAACATATACATCTTAACTGGAGGACCTTTTGGCTTCCTGATGGGCTTGTCTTTGTTGCTCTAATGGTACAGTTGTCACATGATTAGGTTATCCATATACATGATATTTCTATAGCTCTTTTTATTAAATTTATTGCTCGAACATCTCAATTTATCCATCTCATTTTCAACTAATAATTTTATATACGTGCACTTTTAAAATTAAACAAAATAACTTAATATAGGATATACATATTTTTATAAGAAGGGAGGTGGTGATCAAACTTATAATAAATTAGCTTTCTCAAATTAAATTTGAGTATCATAATTAAGGGTGTTTACAATTGATCTCCAGATAAATTGTCTCTCTATTGACAACCCGACGCCTTCTTCATTTGTAAACTATCTAAATAATAGTTTTTATGACAACAACAACAACATCAAACCTTTATCCCATTATGTGGGGTCGGTTGCATGAATCCTTTTTCTCCATTATATCCTGTTAAGAGTTAAATTCTCATTTAAATCTAATAAAGAATGGTCATTTCTAATATTTTTAGGGGTTTTTACATGTATAACACTTAAAACTACCATATTTACCTATTAAACACCTAAAGTTACCTATTTACTAATATATCACCTCAAACTCTCATTTTAAAACCTTTTATAGCACTTCTGTGACGTTCGTTCGCCTCTCCCGTTTGCCACTCCACTCTTATTCGCACATCCGCCCTCTCCGACCTCGTTCGCCTCTTCACCGTCCGAACTCACCGCAAAGACTTCTCCAGTGACGTCACACACGCCTTAAGCGTTCGACCGTTCGCCCTTTCGCACGCCAGGTTCTTCTTCAGAGTAAACAACATACTTGTTTGAGCACTTCTCAAACTTCCATTCCACTTCTTCTCACCATGTTTCCTGAAAAGATGATTCTTTATCCCTGTAAGATCTCCGAGAGCAAATTGCTTTATGGATGTGGAGTCAGAGAAGCAAATTGATTTAATAATTGATTTCAGCTTGAGATTAAGACTAACATTCATTTATTTACAGAATAACACATAGGGCAATTCCTGATTGAAGCAAAAAACTTTCCCAACCAAAAACAAAAGTCTTACCATTCTTTAATAAATAACAAAACAAAAAACAGAATACATAAGCAAAAATCTATCCCAACTAAAAAAAATCATATAAATACAAGTAGAGGAGTAGAGCTGTAAGTTTTAATCAAGATCAGAGTTATAATTGGAGCGCCGAATGGGTAATTTTGAAGCAAAATCAGTCTGAATATCATCTCCTTCAAAACTCAAGAACACTGCTATAGTTTTGATGAGTCCCGCGATGGAAACAAAAAATCAAGAACACTACATTTTTGACAAGTCCCGCGCTGGAAACCAAAAACGATACATCATGTGTTCTTTGTAAATGATATCAACTAACTCCGTTCCAATATTTGTAGTGCTCGAATGCGGAAATGAAAACCGAAATCGATAATGTCAACGTGTGAAAGGGCGAATAATGGCAGCGTGGGATTAG